CGTACACGCTGAGGACTTTTTGTAATCAATAATAAAGGCGAAGCAATGTGCATTATGACTTTCAAATTTATTTTTTATCCGGTTACGATCGTTTTTTCATATTTTTTAATGAATTTTAGATGGCAATGTCTCTTATTTAAGCCTGCCGGATGTTACTTATATTTAAGAGTATATCGATAAGCATCTAATTTACAAACTGTAGGCTGTATTCTGATATGTAATAAAGTTGTCTAGAAAATAATCCTCTCGTTTTCTATTCTTTTCTAGAAAAAAAAATCGCCTTTGCGTTCAAATATAAATATCTTTTATCGTGAATAGAAGACAAGTTGTTCATTGAAAATTACTAAATAAATAAAATAGAACGAAATAAAAGAAATTAAAAAATATAACAAGGAGACGATAAATTTCGAATCAAATAAATTTTGATAACCAAATAAATTGAAATAAGGAGAATTAATTATTGGCAGATTGATCGATGAATACTCGAGATACCGAATTTCTTTGCCGACAGACCATCCGGATCGCAAGGACGTTACCTTGACTGGTTTCCATTCGATCCGGTTTTAATCATCCTTCGATGGAAACCGTAAGTGAATCGACAAGAAAGAAAGGATCGAATGGTCAGACATGATTGCACTCGGTATGCGTGACGCTGCGGTAAAATATCGAAAGACGATGCTGAAAAATAATGGAAAAATATATATCATATCTTATCACTTATAGATCTATCGTACGGAAAAAAATAAATATCTATATCCATTGAATCATAATTTAATAAAAATACAAAATGCTCGATATACTCGTAAAGTAAAAAGAAAAGGAAAAAACAGCATTCTCTTGAATCAAATTCCAGTAGTATCATCAAGATTTTCTACGTAGATTGCATTGTTCCAGTATTTATGCTTACTCAACAAATACCCAAAGTCTAACGAAATACGAATCGTGTTAAAAAAGAATCATCGAAAGAAAGAAATATAATTTTGTGTGAATATTTATTTCATCTGCCTCTATCCCTTTCGAAAATGATTTTCGAAAAAAAAAAAATGAATAAAGATTAAAGGATTATGCGATCTTTTTAAAAAATATCTTGAAAAAAATTGCATGTAATCATACGTGTGATATTTGTTTTCTCGGATAAAAGCGGGAACTAATAGAAATAAAATAGCGGTTTCGTCGGGAAAATTGCACGGTGAGCCGCGCAAAGTTACGCTCGTCAAATTAACGAGTACATATTCCTGAAACACGCGAGGGGAGGTCTTTGCACTTAACACTGGTTCGCGTGCGGCTAACGTGTGCACGCAACGCGTGTTGTTCGCACACGTACTTACACACGAGCCAAGATGCACTCTCAGGTAATGGCATAGATGGCCTCGACCTTGGTGCATCGCTCGACTGCACTGTGTATCGTCCCACGCAGTGGCGTAACATCCAGGTGAGACTCGAATCTTTCGCCCGGCCATGCTTCTCACGAAGAAACGCATGCTCGCATATTCCAATCCTTTCGATCGCAATTATAACGGAATTCACTTTGTAATATCTTCGAATTTAATAGAAATTCGTTCCCCGTTCATTCATTTTATGACGCGTTTCAATTTTTTATAGGATAATTTAAAATAAATAGATTCAATTTGTTTCAATGATTTGTAAAAATAATAATGGAAATTTTATTACTTCGAATCGGATTAATATTATTTATTCGTTGAAATATTTAGTCGTACATTTTTTTTTTTTTTTTTTTTTAATT